GCTGCAGCCGCCGGGCCTCGCTGGTCTCTCCCCACCCCCACCCCGCCAAAGCAGCGGCATCGAGGCCGGCTGCAGAGCGTTCCCGGCGCATGCGCAGGGGACGCTCTGTCACAATTGGGGGGATTTAAGAATCCCCCCGATTTCTTTTCCGGGTTTTTAGATTTTTGTGCACACCTGGGGACTGCCCCAAGTGTGCACAAAAATCTCCCTCCCCCCAGGTGCCCCCGATGCACAGATTTAGGTATCCGCACGCAGGGGGCGCCTTTTGCTATTAGATATATAGATATGATAGTTCCTATGTATACTATAGACATATAAAATATATCTTAAATAATATGTTGTTTCATTGTGAACGACTGGCCAACAATGCACTATGTCAGTGAGGATAATACATCCTTTAAAAGTTTAATTTTTCAATTTTATAAAGTTGAAGTTGATACCCGAATATGCTGGTAGGTCTACATATTGTAATCACACAGCAGTTTCTGTCCAAATAATACAATTTTAAAAACTATATAATTTATTTTCTACTATCCATTTTTATTTTTCCCACCTCTTAGATGGCAAAAATTGAGATATATGTACTACAATAGCATAGCTTCAGGGTGGGCATTGGCTAGTATTTGGAAGGGCGACCTCCAAGGAATACCAGGGTTGTGATGCAGAAGCAGGGAATGGCAAACCACCTCTGAAACGTCTCTTGCCTTAAAAACAAGTCTAGCTCACCACCTAGTGGTGCGTAACACTAAAGAGCTAGAACTTCTGGCTGCCAGATAATTTTAGGCTCTCCTGGCTATTCTACACACAAGGTCATACAATAATTTTTAGATGAGTAGCCATATTAATCTGTAGTAGAACAAAAGTATCGCAGCATCTTTGCGTGTGTAAAATGCTGTCAAGTTGCACTCACAGCTGACTTATGGCGACCCCAAGCAAGGGGCTTTCAAGGCAAGTGAGAAGCAAAGGTGGTTTGCCATTGCCATCCTCTGCAGTCTTCCTTGATGCTCTCCCATCCAAGTACTAACCAGGGCTGACTCTGCTTAGTTTTCGAGATCTTACAAGATCAGGCTATACCATGCCGACTTCCTACCGTAGCATCTTTAAGACCAACAACATTCCCCAGGGTATAAGTGCTCGTGAGTCAAAGCTCAATTCATCAGACAAAAATGGGAAGGAAGACCAATCCATCCATCCTTATATTCAGGTCAGAAGGTGAGAGGGACATCACAAAGAAGGACCAGTTTTGTAAAGAACTCACAAAAAGCTTGGAAAATTCTGTTGGCCTTTAAGGTATTATCAGCAGTAACGCTAACTGACCTTTCTTTATAACACCCTTCCCACCTTTTGACCTGGATATAAGGGACGATGGATCTTCATTCCCATTTTTATCTGACGAAGGGAGCTTTGACTCACAAAAGCTTATACCCGAAAAAAGGTTGTTCATCTTTAAGGTGCTACTTGACTTGGATTTTGTTCTACAGAAGCACAGAATGCAGCAGTTTGCAACTCTCGCTCAAGCATTACATGACTGTGACCCAGTCAGGAATTTGCAGACAAACAGCATATTAAGATTGGACAGGGAAAACCTGGATTCAAAAACCCTGCTCAGCTGCAGCACTCACTGAGTAACTTTGAGCCAGTCACTGGGTTGTATTCAACTGCCTGCTCAGGTAAGGCTAGCATATTCCATCAGAAAAAGGCCCGCAGTCAAAGAAACCTCTTGTGTCGATGGGATGTGCCTTTAGCCAATGGAAAACGCTAACCTGCAGGAGATTATCAACAAGTCCTTCTTGGAGGGACGGTTCCCCGGAGCACTCAAGGAGGCGATGGTCCGCCCCCTCCTGAAAAAGTCATATTTGGACCCGACTGAATTGGCCAACTATCGGCTGGTGTCCAATTTGCCCTATTTGGGCAAACTTATAGAGAGGGTGGTGGTGTTACAGCTACAGGGCATTCTGGAGGATGCTTCAGTCCTAGATCCCTTCCAGTCCGGTTTTCGCCCGAGTCATGGGACGGAGACGACATTGATCGCCCTGACTGCCAACCTCCGTAGGCATCTGGATCGAGGTGGTGTGGCGGCATTGCTGTTAGATCTGTCGGCCGCTTTTGATACGGTCAACCATCAGCTGCTGGCCCACCGCCTTGCCAACGTGGGGATTCAGGGGCTCGTCCTTCAATGGTTTGCCTCGTTCCTGCAAGGTCGGGGACAAAGGGTGGCGATAGGGGAACAGCAGTCCCGGAGGCACCCTCTTGAGTGTGTGGTGCCTCAGGGGGCGGTGCTGTCCCCGATGTTATTTAACATCTATATGCGCCCCCTTGCCCAGATTGCCCGGAGTTTTGGGCTTGGGTGTCATCAATATGTGGATGACACCCAGCTCTATGTGATGCTGGGCGGCCGGTCGAACTTCGACCCAGATGACCTTCATCGGGCATTACAAGCTGTGGCTGGTTGGCTCAGACTGAGTCGGCTGAAGTTAAAGCCGGAGGTCCTGGGCCTAAGTCGGGTTGGTTCGAGGTTGGGGCTCCCTCTCCCGGCCTTCGATGGGGCGTCGTTGGTGCCGGTATCAAGGGTTAGGGGTTTGGGAGTGCTCCTGGACTCCTCCTTATCGATGGAGGCTCAGGTGGCAGCCACTGCCAAGTCAGCCTTTTACCATCTTCGGCTGGCATGGCAGTTGTTTCCTTTCCTTGACAGCGAAGACTTGGCCACAGTGATCCATGCGACGGTCACCTCAAGGTTGGACTACTGTAACGCTCTCTACATGGGGCTGCCTTTGTCGCAAATCCGGAAGCTGCAGCTGGTGCAGAATGCGGCGGCCAGGCTGTTCATGGGTCTCACTAGACGGGACCACGTCCAGCCTGTGCTGGTTCTTACCTATAAAGCCCTTGGTGGCCAGGGTCCAGCGTACCTAAGGGACCGCCTTTCCCCATATGTTCCCCCAAGAGCACTACGGTCGGGGGCGCAGCACCTATTGGTGGTTCCAGGCCCCAAGGACATCAAGTTGGCTGCAACCAGGGCTTTCTCGGCGGCGGCTCCTATATAGTGGAACAAGCTCCCAGAGGAGATCCGGGCCCTGCGGGACCTGGCACAGTTCCACAGGGCCTGTAAGACGGAGCTCTTCTGCCAGGCCTTTGCATAGGAGCCGCCGCCGCCATTGTGCCACTACCGAGCTGCCATCTTCGGCGGTGGATTAGACCTAGAGCCGGCCCTGGGAAGACGCCTAGATGACCAAGAACGTATGCTGTCAGGTTAGGTTGACAAATGGAACCCATCTTGGACTTATAAGACTTAACATCAAGAGCACCGCACTTTATTTAATGATTGTTTTTATGCTGTTTTAATTGTTTGTTATGGCATTCGCCTCTTTTGTTAGCCGCCCTGAGCCCATTTGGGGAGGGTGGGATATAAATCCAATAAACAAATAAACAAACAAACAAACCTTAGCGAAGAAGAATGGTTGAATCCAAACCATTACCCCTTAGCTTAATGTACTTCATAGGGTTGCTGAAAGGTTAAAAAGTCAATAAAAGCCAATGGTGCTACCCAAGTTGGTACCTCCAAGTCTTGATTTTGGTACAGGTCAAAGTATGTTTTAGGGATGGATTCTGCCTCCAAGTTATCAGGCCAGAGGCTTATTAAAGTTTCTCTCCACTTGGAGAACAAGTAGGGTGGTCAGGCAAAGTAACAGCTATGCCCCAATTGTTCAGACATGAAGTGGGGAGTCCAGAGCCCTGGAAACTCTACCAAATAAAGAAGGGGAACGTTTCTGAGAGGTGCAGGTATGTAGGTAGCTCAGTGAGTCAGAGTTTCAGTGGGAAATTCAAACCAGTACAAATTGGATGAACCTGAACTAAGAACATATTAGTAGGAAGTGCTCATGGGGCTTTAGTGCTAATGCAACTAGATTATTTGTATTAAGGACCCTTTGTGTGGAAAGTGTTTGCATGGACACATGTGTACATGCGTGTGCCCCCCTGACACACAAAGTAATAAGAATTCCCTGGAGGAAAAGTGAGATACCAATTTTATAAAGCGATGGTTTAGTTAAACAAGCAATTCAGAAAGACACTGACTACGTAGTGAGCCAGTTTGGTGTAGTGGTTAAGTGCGCAGACTCTATTCTGGGAGAACCCGGTTTGATTCCCCACTCCTCCACTTGCATCTGGCTGGCTGACCTTGGGCAAGCTGTGGTTCTGATAAGAACTGTTCTTGAAAAAGAGCACTTTCTGTCAGAGCTCTCTCAGTTTGTAAGCTGCTCTGAGACACCTTTGGGTAGTGAAGGGCGGGGTATAAATCCAATCTTCTTCTTCATTTCACACTATGAAAAACTGGCAGGGGGAAAATGGAATGCCACAGACGCTGGCATAGATTTTGCAGGGTTAGACTGTTAAATTTAAAATATGTTCTGGTACCATGCAGATTTGACCATTTACTACTCACCGATTCTAGTAGTTGCTTCGCATGAAGTTCTCGGTCTCCGGCAAATCTCTTCATCTCTCTGTTACGATGAGTCTCTGCTTCTTTTGCTTGAGTTATGAGGATCATTTTTTCTGTCAACCACTTTTTGCGATCCATTTGATGTTTTTCTTCACACTCCTATTTTTTTTAAGTTAATCAGAAGAGTTAAACCCCCTCTTCTTGAGGAACTTGGAAAGCTCTCAAAAGGTTAGGTTTTAGCTGTCATAGACTTTGGGAAGAACACATTATTGTTTCCTGTAAAATCGCGTCAGTCTATCAAAAGCCTTAAACACTCCCAAGATATTTCTAAAGACAACAGATTGCTTTATTTGTCATTCAGCTATAGATCTTTTTATCCATCAAATAGTTCCGTCATTCAGAATAATACCGTTTTGAACCCATTCCTGTCACAAGAGGCAAAACTAACTGCAACTTCATTTAGTGTACTCAAGCTCCTCAAGGCTTCACTGTTCCATCAAAGCTGGGAATTAATCACAGTTCACCAGTGGCTGGATCAATTTTGGACTTCCATTGAGCTTTCCTGCAAGCCCAATTGGAGGGAACAAATCCATGGCTACACCACACCTTTCAAATAGGAAGAGCTGTGTATTTTTGCCCTGGCAAAGAGTAAGCGGACTTAACCAGTCCAAGGATCGAATTTTCCAGGACAGGTGACCAAAAGACACAGCCAAGCCGAGAGGAAGGAATTATGACCTTCAGGGATTAAAGCAGCAATGGTACATAGTTGCTCAGCCGAAATACAGATGCATCTGCAGCTGCTTCAGGAATGGCAGATGCAAACCAGTGATAGAACGGTCATGTTCATTCCTCACCTAACGACCTTGGGCTTGCCCAAGGTCATCCAGCAGGTGCTGGATACTTAAGCATACTGTCAGACTGCATTTATTTGTTGCTTCTCAGCCTATTTCTGTTCCTGATATTCCAGTTATTCTCTGTTATCCTTAAAAGAAGTTTCTGTTTGATGACAGTAACAGGATACCAAATACTGTGCAATTGGTGTCAACTTCAGCAACAATCCGCCTTGGGTACTACCCTCACGAACACATAGCAATCCTTTCCATTAGCTCTTCTTACAGAACTGTGAAGCCTCCAGGCAAACATATAACCTAAGAAAAGGTGAGCAGCAAAAAGCTGGCCCTAACAGCACTACAGGGAACAGGAAAAATACAGATTAAGTCATGTGTGTTTATAGCCAAAGGCACAAGCTTCGCATGCTTCTGAACGCTTTCCCGTATAGAACACTACTCCTCTAGGATATGGTATGAACAGTCCAAGTTACTATGATGGGTCCAAATCAGACTTGCCCATGGAAAAGGGTAACATGTATTCAACGTGAATAATGCTGCTTCAGCCATCTAGCTCTAGCATTAATTTTGGCTCTGCTAAAGAAAAGAGAGACACCAGCTGGCCCATAGCTACAATGGGGCTACTGGGGGCTCCGCCCCCTTCCCTAAAGGCCCAGCCCCGTTCCTTAAAGGGCCCCTGCGTCTTAAAAGCTCCCCCTTCTTCCCAAAAGCATCTAAAGGGATCCTTTAAATGTTTTCCAGAAGAAGGTACATGCCCCTCTCCCTCCCCTCCTGCAAGATTTAAAGGGCCCTTCAGCTGATCCGCTAGGAACATGTGGCCCTCCAATCAGCTGGAGGGCGCTTTAAATCTTGCAGGAGGGGAAGGAGAGGGGCATGTGCCACACACCCCTTCTTCTCAAAAGCATTTAAAGGATCCCTTTAAATGCTTTTGGGAAGAAGCGGGGGGTGGGTGGGAACATGTGCACTCCAAACTGTGAATTCCACTCCAAGCCAGCCCCACCAGGAAAAAATTTGCCCTACAAGTCACAAAATTCTGGCTACAGGCCTGGACTCCAGTAAACTGGAGCTTCTACCAGTTCATCCACATTTTTAAAGCAGCCAGTTGCTGCCAAGGGGTACAAGCATACAAGCAGGAAACCTCCAACAAGCTTGGGATGAAGCCACATCCAGCCCTTAAAAATAAGTTTGGCTTCTTGCAGCATGTTACCTTCAGTTTCTCTTGCAATCTCTCCAGTTCTTCACTAGGCAACTTGGCCGTGTTTTCACATTCTGCATTAGCACGTTGCTGCCTAGAAGCACTGCTCTGCTCCCCTAGCTCACGGTACCTCTTCTTCCATACTTGCAGCTCTACAAGGGCAAAAACATGTTTTTAAGAGGTTGGAAGAAACGTCATGAGTTTCATTATTAAAAAACTGCAGGTGTTCATGCAGTCTGCTGTTGACCTGTAACTGATATGCAGAAGACGCTCCAGAAACGTGGACCAAAAACAAATCTGAAAGATTTCAAACTGCTTTTTAAAGATACTTCTTGGATCAAAAAAGTTAATGAGCCTCGTATTTTTTTTAAAGGAATTTATTTGTTTTTCTTATAACTTACCAGCCACTAATCTTTCTGAGTCTGCTATCCTGGCCTCAAGTACTTGATCTTGTTCCGACTGAGTCTGTTCTTGCTCTTCTAAAGTCAGTTTCATATCTTCAATGATCTTCTCCTTGGAAGAGAGATCTAAAGATTTAAGAACACAGCTTTTCACTATAGTATCTTCTCTCATACTGCTTCCCTGAGGAGTAAAAGGTTGCTTCACTCTTTTTACATTTTACATCATTTACATTTCCGCACAAAGAACCACCACTCACATTTGCTTTAAGTTAAGTCTTTCAAGGACACATTGTCTTTTTCATTTCAGGCTACAGGTGGATTACAGCAGAGTTTGGCTTCTTGTTGTACACTGTTGACAGCAAAGCCCTGGATCAGTGTTTGGGTGCTGAAGAAGAGGAACGTCTGCTCCCCACCACCACACACCCGTTTTGCCAACTGAAAGTGCCCCCCAAATTGGTCTTATTCCAGTAGCAGAAAACAGGTAGACAACACAGGTAATATTTTTTTTGCTGCTACTATGATTAAAAAGCATGGAGATGGTCCACTGTGAAAACACCACTGAGTTTGTGGTGAGGGGACAGCTAACCTGACCACTCTAGTGCTGCAAGTCAGATGTTGATATTGGTGGCCAAGCAGTGACATCTGGAAGAGGGGTGTGTCTTTTTTCAAAGTTTTCATGGTGTGACTAGAAGAGGATTTGGTGGGAGTTTTTACTTTTGTTGAAAGGACAAGATATAAATGTAACAAAAATAACAGTCCTTTATCTTCAAATATGCTGCCTCCAGCAGGCTCTGCAGAGAGGCAGCAGAGGTTATCCATCTAAATCAACGCATAAAATTGGGAATTAAATTTTGACAACACAATCTTAGCAAACCTTTAGTGGCAGCTGCAGCCCTAGGAACGTACATGAAAAATCCTAATTGGGGCTGCTGAAAACTGAAGCTCCTTTTTATTTTCCAGTTGATGATAATGAAGACAGGGAGTGAAATTTCTCTCTACCGCAGAAGAACTGCCTGAAAAGTCGCGCCTCCCTTTTCCTGCCAGCGCTATGCCTACTTGCCTTGGAATAAGACCCAGTTATCCCAATAGGACGTGCTTAGGACTGTGCCGCAGATCATGCAGGGTTTTTTATTCCTTATTTATCAGCACAGTCAAGAGTAGAGATGGGATCGAACTGAATTACGAACCGAAGTTCACGCCGAAGCACGATGCACGTGAGCTCAGAGGCATTTCTCAGTTCACTTGTGAGTCGTGCCACGGTGGCGGCAGCGCAGCTTGCGAAAGCCAGTTAAAGGGACTGTCCCCTTTAAATAGCTTTTACAAACCCCACAAACCCAAACTGGTTCATGAACCGGGGGGGGGGGGGGTCCAGTTTGTGTGAACCAGGACGAACCTCCATTTTCCCAGTTCATGCCCATGCCTAGTCATCAGTCCCCCCCCTCCCCATTCACCTTCAAGTTGCCTGCTAGCCTCTCTTCCACCCCAGTCTTGCTGTCCGCCATTAAGAGAAATGATGCATACGGGCATCAGTCCTCATCCAGTATGAAAGCCTCCCTCTGTTTGCAATGGCTCTTGCAGACCTTTGGATCATTCTGCAGTCAAAGTGTGTCTTGAAATACGCAAACCCATTCAATGTTTGTTTATCAACAGTATAAAATAAGTGTGTATGGAGGGAATCCAGCTAAAGAAGAAAAGAGGTCGTAGATAAATTAAGGAAGAATCTAATAATGTTTAGATTATGAACTAAGAGGAATGTTGTACGGTGGTCTGGTTAAGTGGGCAAAGAAAGGGAATAAGATAACGAAGATGGAGATTATTTATATGCTTTCAATGTTTAATATGATTTCTAGAAAGAGAAGAATATAAGGAAAATGAAGTGTTAAGATACGTATAAAATATATGGATATATGTAACAGTGTTCCGTGCGCCTTGGTGTTTAGTCATGCCGGCCACATGACCACGGAAACGTCTTCGGACAGCGCTGGCTCTTCGACTTTGAAACGGAGATGAGCACCGCAACCCTAGAGTCGGATTTGACTGGCTTTTGAGCAAGGGAACCTTTACCTTTAGCTTACACTCAATAAAGTATTAATTAAAAAACAGTTGTTGTTTTTTAAAATGATAAAACTTTAACCCATGTAATATTTCACATCCTCATCAGTAATACCAATACACCTTACAAAAGCACCTTACATTAACCATGCTTTACCATGCTTATACTATGCTTTAATAAAACATGGAGGGAGGAAAACAACCCTTTGCCATCACATACCTTCACACACCTTCTGGTATTGCTGTAAAATATCCTCCAGTTTCTCGTTAAGTTCTTCCTAATTTAGAAGCAGGGTGGGAGAGAGGAGGGGCACACACAGATGAGATCCGAAGATAAAGCTTTATTATACAGTGAACATGTTAGCAACAAGCCTGCTGCTCTATAACAGATTACTTTCAAGTTGGCACCTGAAATCCAAGTTCCAGCCAAATGTACTTATCTTTAGTGGGGTGTTTGTAGGTATTTCCTTTCAGAGGGAGAATATTAAGGAAAAGCTTAAAGAATCCCCTCTCCCTACACACACACTTTTAGACTATAGTGTAACACTGACTTGATCTGCACCCACAATAGTGAGATGCGGCCACTGCTGGTAGTGGAGGAACAATTTGTGTCAGAGTGTCCCAGTATGCAAGGTAGGAACCCAGGAAAGAACTGCAGCTATATGATTACTGCAAAAACTCACAAACATGTTGCCAGATCCTGCAGAACACAACATTCTTGACTGTTTATTCTTACACTTGTTAGGGGTCCGTAGGTGAAAGAAACTTTAACAATGGTATTTTATGCACATGTCTGTACAAATTAGGCTCACCAGGTTGCCTGCTTTGGTGGGCAACTTTCTACCACCGATCTGCACCCTCCACCACTGCTCAATAGATTGGTGTGGAAGGGAAATGACAGGGGCAAAACATCAGTTCCCACTGCATAACCAGAAGTGACATCACCATGTTGCAGTACATTCTAGGAGTCACCCCTGCCCCCCAAAAAACTATGGTACCATAGAGTTTCAGGTGAATGCTAGCATGCCCCATGATGGGGTGGTGTCACTTCCAGGTACACAGCGGGAAGTGACACTGTGGTGTCTCAGCATGCCACTTGTATAAGTCCTGCATCCCCAGGCTCTTAGAGGTGGCCAACTGAAGGGCTGGCAACCCTAGTACAAATGCCAGTGGAAATACTTATTAAAGTGTATGTCAGTGTAGTCCTAAGTAGAGTTATATCCTGTTAAGTCAATTGAAGTCAGTGGGCTTAATTCTGCTTAGAACTGCACTGAAAAATATTTTATTAACCTCCACTGTTACTGCTGCCCTTCCTTACAGGCCACTGCAATCACCTCCACATTGCAGAAGCAGGCAGGGGACAGAACTAAGATAGTGGCTTACCTATCCACGGTGCAAGTTGAACTGCAGATTTCCTAGATCATGTCCCTACACACTATATTATACCAGCTCTCTAGATTTTGCCTTGTGATTACCTTGAGAGCTGCCTGTATAAAAACAAGGAGTTGCAATATGAGTATTCCATGATACCTTCTTAAACTGCTGGATCGTTCGCTGTTTGACTTCTAACTCCTCAACCAGCTGTTTTTTTGATTTTTCAAGTTCACTCATTCTGTTCCGCAGTAATTTCTCTTCAGTACGCATAGTGCACACCTATAAAAAGAGAGGCATATAATACAGGCTCAGTGAGGACTAAGTAGAAATCGTAAAAAAGCTTTATTATGGATTCCAACCCCCCCCCCCCAAGTACATTTGAAAATATGCTTTCAGGCCTATGCTGAAAGCAAATCACGCAATTCCAATTTAGCTAGTATGCACTGCAGTTTGATGTGTTGTGGAAGGGAACAAAGTGTGTCCAAGTACATCATCAGGACACTCACGTTTGCAGGCTCCAGCACACCTAAGAAGGTTACTTCCACTTTTTTCAGAGGCAAGACAAATGGGCTACTAGACACTAAGCCATAAAAACTTGAGGAGACAAAACTGCTAGATGAACTGGATAAAGACCGTCGCACATTAGGTTGCATGCAATGAAAAGTTTCTGCTAACAGAAGTGAGAAGGCAATTTTTGCCAGTTTCCCCCTCCTGTTGCTAACCTCCCTGCTCATGCCATCCCTGATGACCCCTGTCCTCCAGCAGCAGCACTGGTGGCAGGCAGGGGTATTTCAGCTTGAGACAGGAAGCAAGCAAGTCCTGCACCGCTGATGGAAACATTAGTTTACATGACTACCTCACACACCATCTCCAGTGGTGGCTACCCCAAGATGAAACAGGGGGTGAAAATAGGGAAGAACAGAAGACTTGCACAGGAACTGAACGACTGCTACTTCCAAACAGGCATCCTTACAAACCTCTCTCTGAACTTGCTCAATCTGTTTTTTGGCATCAGCCAGCTTCTCTTTCAGGTCTGTGTATTCTTCTTCTTTCTGGCGGATTTCCACTTGCAGCTGGGAGGAAAGAGCAGTGCTTTCCAGGAGATCTTCCTTCAACCTGGAAAAGGGAAAATATAAGCTAAAGCAGTAGATGACAAAGGCACAGGGCCCAGTTTCGACTGATCAAGTCTCTCTTTGGGCACGTTGCATGCTCTTCAATAGGGGTGGCTAACAGGTGGGTCTAGGTCAGTAAACACAGGACACTTATCAAAGGAGGCTTGGTGCCTTTTATATGCTGTACCATTAAGTTGTGGAATTGTTTTAAGGCAATTGGGCTCCATCTACAATTTATTTTTAATACTGGTCACTGCACCTCACTGTTCTTTTGGAGAAAGATAAAAACACCTCTTGATAAAGGTTGCTTTCCAAAATGGCCTGAATTATCGATCGAACTACCATTGAGTAAAGAAAATAGTGACTTACTTGTCACCTCACTGTGTCTCCTTTGGAGTATTTATGGACATTTGATAAGTGTCTTATGTTTACTAAGACTATTTATGTAGGCTTAATATTCATTTGTGACTGAAATTGCTTTACTTTTGATGTTCTCTTATATTGCTTGACTTGGATTTTTTGTCTCTGGGGAGTGTATCATATTAGCTATTGCTATTTCCTCCCCATCCCTATTTTCTAGACTTCCATAGGGATGGGCATGAACCAGCTGAACTTTGGCTGGTTTGTGTTTCGCATAGCAATGTTCACAAACTGAAGAACCACCACAAACTTCCATGAATTTTGATGCCGTTCATGAGAATCAAAAAGCAGGGGTTTCAGCTCAGCTGTTTACATGGCTGGGAACCATTTAAACTCCTGCTTTCTGCTCCCTGCGAAAAGACACAGGGAGCAGAAAGCAGTGGTTTAAATGGCTCACAAACTGATACAAACTGGGTTGGTTCGCAAACCAACCTCCTGGCTCGTATGGGTTCATGGTTCACTTTACCTTTAAGTGACAGGGAGGAAAATATGAGCCTGCACAATCTCCACAACTCAGAAAAGGCTCCAATTATATGCCTACTAAAAAATAAGAGTGAAAACTGTTTTCTTGCATGATCTACGAACCTGGGATCATAGGAGCCTCTCCTCAGAAAGAGAAATCATAAACTGCATTCTTCTCTCCCTTCCACCCTTTTTCCAACAAGGGGAGCAGCAATCTTGTGCAGAGTAGCAGCTGCTGTCAGACTATATATACTGAATACATCACTTGCATAAGCAGTGAATTTTTAGTGCCTGTCAGCCCCAGTGTATTGTTGGCATTGACTCCTGAACTGACCCACATTTAAGGTGATCAGACAGAACACATAATTTAAAGGACCCAACAGTGGCAGTCTGGAGCCATGGAATGGCTGCTACTAACTCTGCGACAGCAAAATGCTATCAAGAAATGCAACTCTGAACTGGGGCTATGATCGTCACAGAGCTAACACCTTGGACAGCAGCTGTTATTAAGAAACAGGCCCCAGTGGATCTCACAGCAAGAGGATAAACTCTTTTCTGTTGTACTGGCCCATAAGAATGCTCTCGGGTATCGCATGGAATAAAAGGGCAGAGATCACTGCTGCAACGCACTGTTGCCAAACACATACGTAAAACCTTACCTCTTAGAAACAATAGTTACCTATGGTTCATCTAATACAGGGGCCTTCAACTGACCTAGACCCACCTTTAGCCCTCAGATTTCGCATGAAATCCAGCAAGCCGCAAGCAGGAGACAAGTCATGTGACATCACAGTCATATGACAGGAAGAGTGGGAGCCAGAGTCATGATCTCACTGGTGTCAAGGCCAGGAACATGTGCGGCAGGCCAAGACTGCTGGGCACAGGAAACAGACCAAGCAGTTGTGTATAGTAAGAAAAAACACAGCCCCCCAGGGTTAGAGCCATGATGGAACCCTGTTTACCAATGAGTAACCTTATCTCATTGTCCTGTTGCTGTTCTCAGTGTGTGTAGAGGAGGCGTGGCACCCTTGTTTTCTACACACACGCACGTGCTAGGAACAGGCTTTTCCAAAAAGCAGCAAAATTCTATAAGGCCTTGTGACCGAGCCAGTGGGACTGATTCAATAGCAGCTACCTCTTGAGGGTAGAGGGTGGCACTATGGGTCATATTTTGGAATTGTGGGGCCCACTCAGGGGACTGCAAGAAGCGGCTTTGTATTTACATTAAAAAAAATTAAAAACCCAGCGCAGTGAATACAGAAGTTTAAAGGCCAAGCCTATTTCTAAAGCTTTACTCTGCAAACTTTTTCTTTAAAAAAAAGAAAGTAGTTTGATTCTATGATTGTTTGCTTAGAAGATTCATGTCCAACAGTGTTTGGTGGGACTTCTACCCTGATGAGGCTAGAATTGGGCTGTCCTAGAAGAACATGCCCCTGAATCACAACTGATTCATGGCAGCTCCTATGAAATTTCAGGCAAAAGGGAAGCAGAGGTGGTTGGCTACTGGCCTTCCTCTGCACAGTAACTCTGACGACTTCTTTGGTGGTCCCCCAGCCAAGTGCTAGCCACAACCAACCCTACTTAGCTCCCAAGCTCTAACAAACCCAAGCTAAGTGGGGCTTATTCAGGCTGCTAAAGCTGGCTGCAAATTCATATCAGTGTCTTTGAAAAAGCTACCAGGAGAAAGACCTGAAGGCACATCGTTATTCACACTGTATTTCTTGATCACCACTCTTTGCCTAGAAATGCCACAAGTATAAATATACCAACTGGCAATTATACATTTAATGTAAACACACAGTCAATACCTTGGGACTATGTCCCAGTTCAACAAACTGAAGCTAAATGGGGTCAGACCCTGGCAATCCGATATAAGTCACCAATAAACACACAAAAACTAAATTTCATTGTAGTGTTGATGCTCATGTCTGTATATGCTTGGGGAAAAGGGGATAACTCACCGCACAATAGCTTGCTTGGATTCCTCTCTCTCCTTTTCCAGAAGGTCAACAGCCTTCAAGTTATTCTTCAGTTCTTGGACTTCTTCCTTAAGTTGCAGTTCATGATTGCTTAAGCTTTTGATCTTAGATTCCAAAACGGCAAGTTTTTCTTGGAGGTCACGTACCTCTCTTTCTGCAACTAAAACTGCAGTCTCTCTCTCTTGAAGGGCTTGTTCCAAAGCAGCTACATTGGCCTCTTTTGCTCCATGCTGTTCTAAGAGGTCATTGAGGTTTTTTATCTTCTCAAGATAGTCAACAGTTTTCTTCTCCTCTGCCCTGTATTTCTCAGAACAGAGAGCATTTTCTTCTTTCAGATCCCTTAACTGACCGAGGATGCGCTCCTTTTCCTGTAAGGAGGCTTTGGCTTGACTGACAGCTTCGCTGAGCTGAGACTTCAGACGAGACGTCTCTTCTTCAGCATTTGCAGTCCTCTTTTGCAACTGCTCTACTTGTCGTTGGAGATCTGCGATCTGACTGCTCTTCTGAGATGAACTGTTGATGATTCGCTTGCTCGTTTCCCAGATGCTTTCAATACTACAATGAAATGAGCTTTCCCGACCCAGGCGGGCATGAATTTCTTCGCGCCCATCTTTTGAAAGCTCTCCCCACTCATTCCAATTTGACAGGTCGGCTTCTGCTGTAGGGCCACCTGAACCTAATCGGATTAGCTCGCCTATTTTGACCTCAACGGCTTTTACTTTTGATTTCTTTTCTGCAATCATTTCGCTCGCAGCCTCTAGTTTTTCAAGCAGCTCCTGTATTTTCCCCTCTTGTTTCTTATTTAGAGATTTCAGGCCAACTAACTCAGACTTTATTTCTTCATTGTTGGCCTGCTGTTGGTGCAGTTCCTTTCTCAAGCCAGAAGCGTATTCTTCTGAAGAAGAAAGTTCTTGAGACAAGCTAGCTATTTCTCTAGTCAAGCCCTCACTCTTGCTTCTCTCTTTTTCTAACTGCTCTCCAAGTGTAGCCAAGTGAGCTTCTAGCATCTTGGTCTTTTGTTCCAGTTCCACCTTTTCTTTCTCTTCCCTGAAAGTACACGGTCGAAGTTGCTTTGTCTCTAGGGTGCCTTTAGAACTGTCATTAATGGATCCTACAAACATGTTTTAAAAAGATAGTTACTTGGACTGAGCCATGGCAATGTTTACTGTTTACACCAAGCAAAAGCTTCTTGAGGATTCTCTGGGCAACATGGGAGGTGAACAGAATTATTTTCATGTGAAACAGATATGCATGATCACATCTGCAGTCTCTTTTTCAAAATCTGCAAGCTTTTTTTAGCTCAAACTTTGGAGAAAATGAAGACAGCCAACTTGCCTTGGAACATCCGAAAAAAATGTGAGCATTGTCTCTGAGCAAGGAGGTTTTAAGTGAAGCATCTCTTCTGGATAGAAAAGCCTATGCAGAGGTAACCCAGACATGGATACTCATCTAGAGAAGCCATTCTGGCCTGTGGTTGCTTCAAGGACTGAAGCCTGAAAGCACCGAATATGAGTAGGAAGTAAGAAATGCTTAGTTCCACAGGGAGCCTGATAAACCAAGGATGCATAGATGTACAATCGTTCTCCATCTGGATTCTTTATACTAATTTTTCAGGCCAAGAAGAAAATGTGGAAGTACTCCCAGTTGCCTGTAGGCCTGACAAAGCGAATGTAGATTCAGCCTTATACCAGGCAGCACATACTTCAGAAGACTAGCGATCCCACTCTGCCACCACTAGCTTTGATAGCTACATATGATCAGCAGAGCTGTTTCACTCTCCCCAGGAGAGGGATGAGTGATCAAAAGGAGAAAAATGGAGGAAGCAGAAGCACATTTTCTCCGGTCTCCTGAATATGTTCTTAAAGAAAAGTGCACACATGTAAATTTTTCAAACTTCAGGATGAAATTAGTGGGTAGGTAGGAAAAAGTACTGCTAAATGGCAGGGGGATCTAAATAGATACAGAACACTTAGCTATGCAAAACATGCTCTAGATGCAATTTCTCAATGACACTGGAAAGCTGCTTTAGATGCAGTCTCAGTTGCTGAAGGCAACACATGCACTTTTTCAACTCCATATAGGATATCCAGTATACAGATTACGCTACACGCAGAGAGGTTTATTCACAAAGTTTATTCTTTGATCTGATCAAAGAAACCTATTCCAGTGCCTGGAATTTCTTCCATATCAGCATCCCTCCAAATAGCAAACATACTATTATTTTTACTTAATTTATACGCTGCCTTTCTCCCCAATGTGGACCACCGATTTACATTCTTCTCCTCTCTTCCATTTGATCTTCACAGCAACGCTACCAAGTAGGTTGGGATGAGAGTGTATCACCGGCCGAAGGGCACCCAGCAAGCTTCCATGGCAGAGTGGGGATCCAAACCCAGGTCTCCCACTTCCTAGTCTGACACTCCAACCTTACACCACAGTGAGCATCACAATGGCAGCAAAATGGACCCAACTGCAGATAAGGTTGTGGTTTCGGCACACTCCCCAAACAAGTTTAAGAGTGAGAGAAAAGAAAACAGTATTTAATATACTCATTGCCACTGCAAGTTAACTCCAGGTGAGCCAGTTAAAGGTAAAAAGCTGGAAAGAGGAGGAGATGGGAAAAATTGGCCTGCCCAGCTTAAATTATCCTGGCAAATGTGGGTTCCAGGGAGAATCTCTCAGTGGCCTATCCCCTCCATCACAGGAGTCTACTCCACTACTAATTTTAACTGACCATTACAAGGGTCAATTAAATATAACAAAGTACAAAGAACAGTCCCAGAAGTAGGGGAAGAGAAAAAATATATCTATATCTATATATAGATATATTTTGCCAGATGGAAAGCCTGGATTGGGACAGTATCCTTGCTGCGTAGCTTTCCCACTGAGGAAGGGGGAAAATAAAAAGGAGTTTTCTAGATTAAACGAAAATCTTTATTCTAGTGGGGCTACCAATATTTTTCTATGCGATGGGATGAACACACTTTTTGTGAGCATGATTTATTACTCCATAATTCTAGGGGTTTCCCGCATGCTATGTTTAAGTGTAGTGTGTTCTGTTTCAGTTGTCTCCAACGGTCTACAAAGTGCTTCTGATTATTTCAACTCTGGTTAAAATTAGGGGAGGGGAAATCAGGAAGTATTTATCTTTGTGCCTGGGTTATAGACATTCTTCAAAGACCACATAAGAGAATCAAAAAAGGGGTACGTACACATCCACATAGTGCCCTGGATGTGTACCAAGTTATTCTAAATATCATTGTCCTCCTTGCAGGAACACTGAAGGCAGCATATTTTACATTTGTTCCACAACAGCAAGAGAAATATAAGAAGCAGAAGGTAAAACTGGTTTTCTATCAACAAAAGTTTATTTTGCCTTTTAAAAATAAAAGCAATTGAGCATTCATGCAAGATGCATATCCATATCCAATCTGAAAGTTGGCTGTCTTCTCCTTGGCCATTAACATTTTATGTTACAATTCTGTATTTAACTCTGATAAACAAGTAGTCTCTCTGCATTGGCGGAACAGGAAGCGATACCTTGCTTTGCAGGTGGGCCTTCCTCTTCCTCCTCCCTTTCCAAACATCGTTTCCTCCCAGTATCCAGATGTTTCTCGAGCATCTCTCTAAAATGGGCACAGTTTGCTTTCTTTTTCTGGTTCTCCTGTTCCATTTGTTGTTTAATAGTAGCAATTGTGTTCTCCTATGTTAAAGTTATAAAGGAAATTATTTTAAACATCTGTGATTTTCAAGTTGTAAGTTTTCCTCCAAGGCAAATAAGTAGTTAGCTTAATTAATCGAGATAATTGTTTAAGAACTGAATTCCCTACTAAGATACTTGGTTATTTCATTTCTTAAGACTACTCTGAGAGCATAACAGCTGTGCTAGATCAATCCAAAGGCCCATTTTGCCAAGCAGCCCCCCCCCCCCAGTAGTACCAGTCCTGATCTGGAGGAAAAAACAAACACCATTGTTTGGCAGATTAGACACAATGGCAAAATGGTGGTTTCTGCTAAAGCAAAAGCAGAAGTCATTAGGGTTGGATCCTATGGAAATTTTCTGTGTGCACAGCCATCTTGTGCATGCAGAAGTACTAAAATTACACTCTGGGAGGAATGAAAAGGGATCATACTCTCACTACTCTTCCCATGTGTGCAAGACAAAGCACAAGGTATTTATTCAGATACCATTTCAAAACCAAGTTACATGAAACCATACGAACTACCTGTTGTACATTCCACTGCTCCATGTATACATCGTCATTGTTTTAAAGTATATTAAAGCACTGTGGGTATATTAAAGCTCATAAACTGAACTGTGTCAATTATACTTTCCTTTCCACTCATGCATCGCTAATCCAATCCATTAGCTGCAGGAGAAAGTGCTCGAGAACAGGGCCCACCTAGTGCAAAGCCAACATTTGGCATTACATCTGAACAATGCCCCTTGATGCCAGGGCTAGCCACATCCTACCCTCTTTCAAAATTTTAATTCAGTGCAAACATTACTTTTTTTTTTGCACAGAAGCTGCAAGGCCAACCAGACTATCAGGCACATTTTATGCTTTGTTGCAAACAAAATGGGGAAGGCCAGGTACCTAAGAGCCAAAGAACAATGGAGGTGTGCCTTGTGGAGGGGGGAGGTCTAATTTTTTATATTGACTGTAAACAGCCCTGGAAAATTTCAAAGTGGCTTTGTAATGAAGCTCTGGGTGGGGCAGGAGAATAGAGGGCTGCTCCTCACAAAACAAATCAAAAGCTCCCAGCCTTTCTCCACAGTGGGGATCCAAAGCAGCTTACTTCATTCTCCTCAACTGAATTTTATCCTTACAACAGCCCTGTGATGTAGGTGTGACTGGCCCAAAGCCACGAAGCAAGCTTCCATGGCAGAGTGGGGTTCTCCCAGAGCCTAGTCAGACACTAAACACTACACTATGTTGGCACAAATGTTGAGCTCGGGGACAGGTTTTCAAGACTGACATTACTGTATTTTGGATTGAGAGATTTTTAAAAATCAAACACTTACAGAGTCTTTTACAATAGTTTCCAAATGAACTATCAGATCTTTCAGCTTGCTTATTTCACAGTCCTTTTGCTCCACAATTTGCGTTAGCTCTTGTATTTGTTCATTCTGTAGAACCATTTTCTTCCAGAAAGAGAACAAACAAGCTTAATTTGTGCAATGACAATTCATTGTAATTCAAAAACTCAAAATGTGAAATGAGACTTTCCCAAGAACAGCACAGTGTATAGTGAACACTGCTGTTAAAATATCCTCACACATACACATTTACCTCAGTAGCCTCTTGAAGAACTTGAGCAGATTCATTCAGTTTATTCTCTTGCATTTTCATCTCTGTAAATTTTTAAGCAGTAGGTATTAGCAACTATTAAACAGGAAAGAATAGCTCAAAGTCTGCTTAGTACCGCATTAGACTCTGAAACAAAGCTGTGTTTGCCACTGCAGTCTTTACCTTGTTTACTACAACTGCAGTGCTCATACCCTGCAACAGGAGACAAATAAGCTACCACAAAAGACAGAATAAGTTATCTTAACTCAGGACTTGTCAATGTTTGCTAGCAGGGCTTTTTTTGTAGAAAAAGCCCAGCAGGAACTCATTAGCATAATAGGCCACACCCAACAGCAGACACTCATTAGCATATTAGGCCACGCCCTTGATGGCACATTAGCATATTAGGCCACACACCCCATATCACCAGAAGTGTGGTCATCCAGCCACACACCTCTTTTGCTTCTTATTCTGTTTACCTTGTTGTCAAAACCCAGAGCTTTTTTTGTAGCAGGAACTCCTTTGCATGTTAGGCCACACACCCCTAATATAGCCAGTTCTAATCAGTTTCTGCTGTTGGGTGTGGCCTATTATGCTAATGAGTTCCTGCTGGGTGTGGCCAACTCAGGAGCCAGCCGGAACTCCGTTCCTGTGTGTTCCTGCCCAAAAATAGCCCTGTTTGCTAGATAGATGCATTTTGGTCCATACTTTTTAAAAATAATCTGGTCCATACTTTTTTAAAATAAGCAAATAAATTGGAGTCTACAAGGAACAATCCCTCTTCTCAGCAACTGGTCAAGATGGCCCACCTCCACAAGATTCTCAGCAGACTAGAACAGCCCTATAGCGCTGTTGACTGCTAGGGCTAGAAAAGAAAGGAACTGCTCAGCCAGCTGTTAACCTGAGCAGTAGGCTGATAAGCAGCCAGAGTATTTTTATGATCCTCTCCCGGTGCCATATTAGGGGGAGAGGGAAGGAAAAGGATGCATGCATAGGTCCCTCTATAGGTTTGTCTATTTAATCAGCATTGTTAAGTCTGATCATTTTGACCAGACATCAATCCTTCCATAACATGCTTTATTGAGGGAAGTCGTTTCCCACCAATACCGCAGTACCGCATTAGACTCTGAAACAAAGCTGAAAGTGACTACAGTGAAAGTGACTACAGAAGGGTCAGCATGCCCAACCCAGTGCCCACTGAGTTCCATATAGCCCTATTTGACATAAAACTAACTAAAGCGTTGGAACCAGATTAGTGTTTCCACAGGTGCTAGGATCGCCACCCACAGAATCCAGTTCTTCCTCCTACTCCCTTCCCCATGGCAGCAGCCCAAAATGCCTCCTGAAATACTGCTCCTAGGAGACTCCCTCTCGCCCAAGAACAGGAATTCAAGGTCATTTCAGGCTGCCATGGAGGCACAGGGAGAAATCGTGCTCCATGTGTGGAAATCCGTGAATTCATGGAATTGTGTAGTCTGGATCCAAGGCCAGTAGTGTTCATGGAAAACTGGATCATCTCGAAGACTCTTCCTCACAGCCATTCTGCTTCTGCACACTCCCTAATACAGCCCCAGACATTTTCTCAGTATCTCTAAGGTAGTCAAACGTTTAGGCAGCTTCCCAATGTTCATCCATCAACTTGCATTGTGGCATTATCCACCTCCTAAATCAACATCCAAAGATTCTACACAGCTCTAGCAGGCCATGCCATATTCTAGCTGGGATCCAAAGAACTTTGTCCCAGGACTTTAATTTGCCTAGTGCAATTTAAAAAAAAATCTCTAAAACCAGGAAGTTCCTTTATTTAGAAAATGTATATGGTGCCTCTCCAAAGAAACTCTTTGAGGAGGCTTGCAAAATAACTCAGAATAAAAGCAAAAAAAAAGCACAAAAAGGGTTAAAAATTAATGAACTATTCAAAATCTAGCCAAAGCACAGAAACATCATCTTAAATAATTCTCACAAACCCAGACCTCAGGCTAGGAGCAGGCTATAAAAAGCAATGGTAGAAGATCAAGCCTTTAATGAAAAGCCTGGATAAGAAGATATGTTTTGGCCTGGGGGCTAAAACATAGTACAGTAGGTTCCAGAAGAACCTCAAGGTGAGGAGAGCATTCCACAAGTGAGGCACCACCACTGAAAAAGCCCTGTTCTCTGTTCACCACTCACCTCACCTCTGCAAGCAGGGACACAGAGAGGAGGGCTTGTGAGGAGGATCTTAACTGCCCTCTTCTCGGCCTGTAAAAGACCCCTCAAATTAAAAAAGAAGATACCCTGCCCTTCACTACCTGAAGGAGTCTCAGAGCGACTTACAATCTCCTTTCTCTTCCCCTCCCCACAATAAACACCTTTGACGTAGGTGGGGCTGAGAGAGCTCTGAGATAACTGCTCTTTCCAGAACAGCTCCCAGAGAACTGTGACTGATCCAAGGAGTGGGGAACCAAACCTGGTTCTCTCAGATTAGAGTCTGCGCTCCTAACCACTACACCAAACTCTCACTCTACAGCAAAAGGACAGTGACAGGGAAGGGCTAGCTCAAGAACCTGAAGTTTCCTTTGCTGTGTGTACAGTTCTTCAGCTCTCGGAGTTTTTTTAATACCTGACATAAGTCTTTCCACAGTACCTACCTTCATTCCTCTCCGAGAGCTTCTCTCGGATTTTGGATAACTCAGCTGTAACATCAGCCAACTGCTTTTCCAGTTTTTCAATAGTTTTCAGGGGATCTTCCGCAGCATTAAGTAACCCAAACACCGTTTCTGCCTGTTGCTTAATATCAGAGACATTATGTTGTAGTGATTCTACCATGCAGACAAAATCAGCAGAACTTCTCAGATCTCTAGCTGCATCTCCCTTTTTGCAAGACACACAAAAGAGGAAAGAGGAAAACACACAAAGTAGTTACACAGATCTATAGGAGAAAAGCCTCAGTTGTTAACAGAAAGTTTCCCCAATATCACGCCAAAGCATCAGTGGAGCCTTCTTGCCACATTCGATATATATAAGCAAAGAAAAAATGGGAGAAAGAGCAAAGAAAGGGTCCACTGAGAAGACTGTTAGTCCAACCAACCCAGCTCATGCATCCTAGTTAGTTTACCATGATGCAAGGGCAGATTCTTGTATTAAAGAGCTCTCCATACTTGCAACAATATTGATATTTAATTTGGTAAGAGATCTGTTTACACAAAGTCTCAAAGTAACAAGTTACTTATCAATCCAACATAATCAGCAGCATAACGACAAGGCCTAAATTAGTTGGTACAATGCAATAGAAGGAAACATAGAAGCTGGCCTTTAAAACACAGCTACAGAGAGTTAAGGATGGAAAGACTTTACCTGAGGTCTGTCTTGCTCATCAGACACGGGCTGTTTCACCAGTCCCCCTCCATCATTCGCCAGGGGTATATATTCCTTCACAAAGTCCTTGTAAATCTGCATCCGTTCCTCAAAGTGGTCCTCCATCAACTCTTGCTTATGGGCAGCCAGCATCCTAAGTTTAACAGGGGGCAGAAGTGAATTGTGTCATGACTTCCACCTGCACAGATATAGCCATTTTAGAAGTCACAAGTAATTTGCCTTAAGAGTTAGGAAGTTAGGAAAGGCTGGAAAGAACCCACAAAAGGGGGGGGGGCTATTTTTTTTGCTGTAAGTTTCCTAGGACTTTTCTTCCATTTTTTTTCTGGTGGAAAAAATAGGAAATGTTGGGGAGCACTGAAAAGCTACAGAATATAAATAGACATATCACATATATTCTTTTGCAGTGAGTGAAATGTACTAAGACAGCACAAGATGCAACCAGTGTTCCCTCTAAGCTGAATTAGTGTAAGCTAGCTCACAGTTTTTTAGCCTCCGGCTCGCACATTTTTTGCCTTTGCTCAGGAAGGATGGCTCCAGAGCACACTCATTGATGCAGTAGCCAAATCTCTTGCTCACAACTTTCATGACAGTAGCTCACAAAGGAGAATTTTTGCTCACAAGACTCCACGGCTTAGAGGGAACATTGGATGCAACAGTTTGCAGCTTTCTCTCGCTTCAGTATCGGGCATACTTACAATGCTGCTTGTAGAAAACCAAAACATTTATAATACTTTTTGGCCATTTCCACACGGAATTATTTGCCCCAGGTTCAATGGTGTTGGAAAGTGACGATTGTTCTGTTTTCACACAGCGTTACGGCGCGTTTGTGCACCCTTCTGGGGTTTCCCTAGCTTTTCTCCAACCTTTCCTAAATCTGCTTTGCAGCAAAATTTTGGGAAAGATCACAGCAAAGCCTGATTGCTGATGTGTGGGTGGGAATGTTTGGTTTTTGCCAGTCCCGCCCCACACAACAGCCATTTCCCCTGCCCCTGAAACAGCCAGTTCTTCTCCATGCCACCTTGGAGATTTTTAAATCTGGCATCTGAATATTACTGTATCAACATTACATTATAACAATACGTGTAACAGATTCTCTGAATTCCCAGCTCTCTCTCTCTTTTTTTAAGTCTCTACTGCCATTTGTTGCAGAGGTATAAGGGGATATAAACTGTCATTTTTTACATGTGGTCAAAGGTCTAAGGGAAGTTTCACTGTGCAGAAAGTCAGACACAAAAGAACAGTAGCAACGCCTGAGAAGGCTGAAAATATTATGAGACCTTTTTTTTTTCACCATTATGTGCACCAGGTGATGACCAGAGTTGGGACACCAAATCACCACCATCACAGTACAACTTAAAAGTGGTTTCAGGTATTTGTATTTAAAAGCCCTGTACATACTGGACTCATTCCCTTGGCCATGGGTACGCAGTTCACCATACAGCACGCTCCTGGATTTGCAGTTATGCAGATGCGCTCCAACATCAAGCAGTTAACAAACAAAACGCTCCAGATACTGAAAGGCAGCCCTTACTTGAGGTTTTTTTCATTGTCAGCGAGATATCGAGCACACTCCTGCGTGACTTCTTCACGGATTCTTAGCTCCATAAATAGCTTCTCTTTTCTTTCATTGATCAGTTTGTTTTTCAGATCCTCTATTATATTGAGAAGCCTCTAAGCATGAACAAAATAAGTGGAGTCAGTTTGTGGAAAATATTATCAGGTGTGCAAGCACTGCAGGCCATTAAGTGCATTTAGGAACACTCTTAGAGGCAGCATCAAAGTAAATGTTTTTTTGCTTCTTCTGAATAAGATACCAATAAAGCAAGTAGTTTATACAGTAAAACCCAGGAAGGTTAAATAATTGCTTGAGGAGATAGGTGTTAGTCACTCAAACAGGCTAATGAATCCTGTGCATTCCCAGTTATTTTACAACACATCATATCTGCATAATATACAGAAGCATCAGATTTTTTTATTTGAAGCTCAGTTGAACTTCTAAGACGTTCTGCACAATGGGCATGTCCCTTTCCCCTCATATGACAGCAGTGCTCATGCTCAGAAAAGTCCTCATACAGGAAAACTCAGCTTTCCCTCACCTCAACTTGTATTGGAAGTGGGGTGGGGTTCCCAGTCCCCAGTTGGAGGTGGGGGATCCCCTGGTTTGGAGCCCCACCCCCACTTCAGGACTATCAGGAAGTGGGAGAAAAGGAACGCCCCCCCCCCCGCGCCAGAAATAAACACAACTTACTGGAAGCAGGGAGGAAAGAAGCAGGAAGTAAACATGATGTGCCTACATCACCCAGAAGTGATGTAGGCATGTCAGCAATGGAGGGGGGGGGCACACTGGTTTTTGAGCCACTTGTGGGTGATGTAGGCACGTCACATTTATTTCTAGGGACATCACTTTCTGCTCCTGGAACACTCCTTCCATCCCCCTGCCTGCGAGTCCAGTAGACCTGGCAACCCTAGAGTGGGAATTTGTGATAGATGGGGATACGAGAGAATGACAGAGATCCACTATTTCCTGAAGGAGCCTGTCGTAATGCATGTGACAGCGTCTGTAACCGGAAGATGGAACAAATGCTTTGCATACAGAAAGTCCCAGGATCAGTCCCTGGCAGGTCCAGTTGCAGCAACTCTCACACAGAAGGTGATCAGGGCTTTCTCTGCCCAATACAATGGAAATATCTGGCAAAGCAGTAATTAGCAACTTCAAATAAGCAGGGGGAAAGGAGCAAAAGACAGGGCTCCGTTGCATTCATTGTGATTGTTCTGCACATGGATGCATGATGGATTATGACCATTATCCGTAACACAGATGTGATAATTTTTTTTAAAAGACACAAAAAACACCCTGCAAAAAACCACAAAAGACTTCGACCACAGTTTAAGTTTCCTCAGACAGCCACCAGGAAAAAATTCTAAACGTTTAGTTTTCAGTCTGATGTAGCGGCATATCACATATTACATACACGTTTCACAACCTTGTCTGTCAAATTTATATTTTCAGTACAGCCATTGTCTTGCCTTGCTAACTTTGTAGCATACAAACCCCAGTGTACTTTGAGCACGAGGAAGCAGGCAGCTACACCACTGACAGTGCAATCCTATGCAGAATTACTCCAATCCGATTCCATTAATTTCAGCAGGCTTCGGCTGGATTAACTCTGCATACAATTGTACTGTAAATTAGTCAACTGTCAAAAAAATTCTGCCTTTCCTGCTACAGAACCAACATAGCTCCTCCTCTGGCACAGCAGTATATACCAGATATTCTTCTTTCCCAATGACCACTTCATCATCACCATCATCTTCATCCGCTGCCTGGCTCAGTGTGTCTTCCACTATCTCAGGCGCTGTCCCTTTGAGAATGTTATTCTCCACGCTGTGTACCTCACGCTCCCCACTGCTGTCAGCAGCCAACTCTTCTTCGTCTTCAATCACATCTTCCAGAGTCCTCTCCCAAAGTATAGTTGCTCTTTTAAGAGGAGCAAGTGCATCTGCTTCTTCTGCTTCAGTTTCCAATTCTTCTCTCATGGACCTCTGGTCACACGTTTGTTCTTGGGGAGAATTGGAAGAGTCGAGGACAATGACCTGTTCAGAAAGAAAGTTAATAAACTATGTTTTTTGGGGGGTGGGTTGTATGTGTATGTACATGTGCGTGTGTGTGCACCTGGAAGTCATGGCAACCTCTGGTGACTGACCCCTACTGGGGTCCTGAAGGATATTCAGAGAGGTGGCTGAATGAAGCCTGCCCCCACCTCCCTACTGCTGGTATTCCAAGGAGGTCTCCCATCTAAGTACTTGCCAGAGTTGACCCTGCTTAGCTTCCGAGATCTGATGAGCTTGGGCTTGCCCGGGGCCATCCCGGTCAGGGCAATAAGCTATGTTAAGAGCCACAGTTGGAGTAGTTAGTTTGGCCATTATAGCTTCTTGCAAAAATTAGTTTAGTGAAGACATCCCTCTCCTTCATACACACAGGGATGTTCTCCAAGGACACCCTTCTTCAAGAACAAGCTAAAACCAAAGTTATATAAGCTTCTTTATTTGCCAAGGGATGTACCCAGGAGCACACAGGAACAACTGTCTTGTTGAAGCTAAGCAGATGAGTCCAGGCACTTATAGGAATCCCGAGTTCCTCATAGAGTTCCATGAGGCAAAAAAGGTAGGATTTAAATACAGTAGATAAAATATTGAGACCATATAGAGACCATTAAGAATTATCTTACTAGATATTTTTCCCCTTAAAGCAAGTTTTGGTGGTGATGAGAGAAAGAAAACAAGGCTGAGTGTTGGAGCTTTTTTTCCTTTATAGTAGCAAGGGTCATTCACCACAATTAAACTGGCAGAAAGCTTAGGCTGGACAAAATAAAGAACTTCACACAACACTGTTTTATGGCGCTTACCACAAGATGTGGCAACAGCTACTAGCTTTAAATAAAGTGGCATCCTCCCTGAGTCCATGTTCAAGAGGCAGATAACCTTCAAATACTGGAGTCCTGAGGCAAGCATGGGATGGTTATCTCCACTATGTTCAATTTGCCAGTTCCCAAAGGAATCCTGGCTGGCCATTGCTTGGAACAAAGTGCTGCACTATACGATCCTTGGACTTATATAATAGTTTAGAAGGTCGCAATCACATATTAATATTTCCATTCTACTTTGGCTTCTGGTTCTCGAGCCATAAAGCAACAATTGGCCTCAAAAGCAAATAAAGAAGAGGAGGAGATTGGATTTATACCTCGCCCTTCACTACACAAGGGAGTTCTCAGAGCGGCTGACAAACTCCTTTCCCTTCCCCTCCCCACAACAGGCACCCTGTGAGGTAGGTGGGGTTGAGAGCGCTCTGACAGAAACTGCTCTTTTTCAAGAACACCTCTGACAGAACTATGGCTTGCCCAAGGTCATCCAGCAGGTGCAAGTGAAGGAGTGGGGAATCAAACCCGGGTCTCCCAGATTAGAGTCCGCGCACTTAACCACTACACCGAACTGGTAAAGAACTCAATCAGAATTCAAACTATCTGACTATGCCATTAGTACTTCAATACCCATATTAAAACTGTAGCTCTAGACATGTGAAAACATGGTTTCTTGAATTCTACAGGATTTACTTCAGAGTTATCATAGATCAAGTTCAGAGTGTGCATTCTTGTACCTGAAACACCAAACAAGGGCAGCGGCAAGCCACCTGACCAACAGTTATTTGCAATTCTCACACAAGCCATATAAACAGATTTTCCTTCTTACCAATACGAACATCTGTCAATTTATTTGACTGCACTTACATTTTGAGCAATTGCCGAAAACTTCAGCACATTGAGTGTCTCGTCGTAGGCAGCAGCACTTGGGCTGACGTTGACTATCATGCACACTTTCCCTTTACCACTGAAGAAGCCTTGGAAGAAGTGAGTTAGCTTACTTTCACGAAAAGGTATGTGCAGCTGCATCCTGGAATTCAACATCACAAAACAGCGTTACATGGCAACACACTCTCAAGTGCAGAAAAGGCATTCGTTTGCTTAAGCCGGCGTGACCCGCATTCAAACACAAGCTAAAAGGCTCTGCAACATTTTACGCAACCCACAGCAGCGAGCTTGCTGCTGGTCTGTCACATGTCTGCTGCAGAAATCTGGAAGGGCAGAACACGTGTTCTGCAGAGAGATGGGGCCATGTGACAGGGAGCTACTCTGTGATCCCATGAGTCTGTGGACGTGGTTTCCCTTTGCCAGGGAACACCCAAGCAATGCACAGGCAGCAAATTTACATTGTGAAATGTGTTGTATTGGTCCTCAGGTAATGGCACCCAAATCCATGCTAGTTTAACTCAAATAGGGCTTTATTATTACTATTATTATTATAGGTTAGCTCAGTGCTCAGCATTTAAATAAACAAAGAAAGGGGGATTGGGGGAGTTGGCTCACTTCATGATCAAGCAAACTTCAATGTAATTGGGGAAGGGGAAGTTGTACTTGCTAAACATATAACCAGTCAGCAAACCTCTTGTAATTAATACTTTTAACTAAAAATCATCAAAAAGCTTTTTAAAAGATTAGAACGACCTTGAAACGACTATGCAGATTTTTAACAATCAGCCAAGTGTCCTGTGATAAGACGGATGGCAGATGGGTTATGCTCGATCTTGTACTGTCCCATCGAAGAGGCACCTTGGGCCTTCAAACACATACAGGGAAGGCTCTCGGGAAGCTTAAGATGTCATCTGAGGCACCTGCATTAGAGTCCCAGCGCACACACACACACATACACACACACACCCCGCACAGTAACAACAACCTCTGTGGATTATGAATGGGAGGGAATAGAGACGGTGGATAAAACAGCCTGTGTGCCTCCGAAGTAAGAGGGAAGGCGTAACTGGGATGAATACATGGGTGGTGCACGCTAGCTGGGCACACACATAAGCTACGCGGATCAGCCCTGGTTAGCCCTTGGATGGGAGAACACCAAGGAGGGTCCAAGGTCAATACACAGATGGCAGGAAATGTCAAACCACCTCTCCTTATCTCTTGCTGCGAAAACCCTATGGGGTTGCCGTTAAGTCAGCTGTGACTTTACACACACACACACAACTGGGAGAAACAATGCTACCTCAAATCATTAATTAGCAGTAAGACACACCACAATAATGCCTACCTCTTCCTTTTCCCATCACACAGAGAGCATTCTGCCCTTTGCAAGTGGCAAGGCAGCCTTCTACCAAGGACTCTGTGGTCCTATCTACTGGACACTTACTTAGACTGCTGATTAGTCTTGAGGGCACTGATGCATTTGCCTAGAATAAGCAGTGAAGCATTGATATTTCCACTCTCCTTTAATCTTTCTCCTTCATTGTGGGTTCTGGTGCAGCGTTCTGAGCCAGCTAAGTCACACAGAAATAATCTGAAAGTGGACAAAAAGCCACACAAAGCGGGAAATTTAGGCTGCCCTTTGGTACGCTTCACAGAAACAAGACTTATCTCAACGCAAGATCACTTACTCACTGACTCGCATGACATGAGTGACGGTAGAATCTATTTTAAGCATTTTTACAGTGAATATGCTGTGGCTGAAAAGTAAACACACATAATGTCGGTATCAGAAGCATTGAATTTTACAAAAAAAATTGTTGCAGCCTAACACTGATATAAGAACTTAAAATTCCAGTTTCAAGAAGCCACAACATACTTCATAGGTTACGTTCACCTTGGTTCTAACAAACAGTGACTGAAAATCTATCACCATGTGCAGTCCCCCCCCTTCCCTGGCCATGAGCTTTAGGCTTATTCTTTAGCTTACTGTCCAAGCAAGAACATTTTAATATTCAAGAGCATATGGGGAAATTTAAACAATAATGTCTTCAAGTTTCATATTATCAAAGGTCCTAAAGTATACTGCTAACTTTACCCTCAACATGGCCCACCACCAAGTTTTAGGGCACCGGCTTTAACAAGTCAGATAAGTTCACAGAATAGAAATCAAATTATCCCTGTGATCATTGTCACTCTGCTAGCTAAACAAAAGTCTAGTAGCACCTTAAAGACTAGCAACATTTATTTCAGTATAAGCTTTCATGAGTCACCACCTGCTTCCTCAGATACGTGCTTCCTAGCTAACCTATTCCCCTAGTATGAACCTGTCCTCCCCCCTCCCTCCCCCATCTTGTTTCTTACCTCCTACTGGAGTTAGCGTTCAGTTTTGTCGAAGCAAAACTTTGGTTCTTCAGGCCTAGTTTCACGAGTTTAAAGGCTTCTTTAGCGTTTGAAACCTGAATCCACTGTAGATCTTGAGGAAACATTAAATGACAATAAAGTATCAAATCGAAGTATTCTATTGCATACGCATAACTGAGAAAAGGATGACTCCACAGAATAGAGGCCATTGAAGTGATGCTTTACACACAGCCTGGGGCTAAGTTATGGCAACGAATCACCAGTTCATGGGCTCTCCCCCTCCCTACACATAGTTTGTTCATTCCCACTCCACCCATAGCAGACAGTTTGTGTGAACAAGTCTCTTGCACACGTCACTGGACATATTATAAAGTTAGTGCACACAGGAGAAGGGCACATACCCAAACAATGCCTCAGTGCCCTGTTGTACGCATGGCCCATGTGCATGGTTTCAGGTGTAAACCGCTTCTCAAATGTAACATCCCCATATTTGCAGATTTTATAGCCATGTCTTTAAAAAGCAGATGGACTGAAAACTAAAATTTATTACAGAACAGCTTGGGTGAAGGAACACAGGTGCTTCGTTTCCTAGATGGCAAAGAGGCTTTCGGCTAACAAAATACATGATTAGCCCTTAATACTCCAGGAAAATAACTTTACCCAATTTAGAAGACACATGATAAAAACGGGAATCAAAGTTATGACATGACAAAAAAAATCAGTCACATAAAGGATTTGCAGTGGGTAGGAAAGGTAAGGGACAGTAGATGCAGACAGGGACAGTAGCTATAGCTATTTATCCTAGCCTGAGAAAGCTATTTTGGGGGAGGAGGAAGGTTGCGATGAAATAATGTACCTTTTTTACGTCACACAGCTGAATTTCTCTTTGAAGAGGGAATAAAGCCTCCTTTCCCCCCCTCCTTGGTAAAGCTCTGGTTTCCAGCCTCTGATCTGAAGACCACCAAGACCTTCAACTGAAAATGCTTGTTACCTTTGACATATGAACAGCCTTTAATATCCTGTGCAAGGCGCAGCATCTTCCTTCTCTTATCATTGGTCATTGGGAGCAGCAAGTCATAAATAGACTCATTGTAAATTTCACAAAACGACACCCAGACAGAGAACTTAGCACCGCTCTCCTCCTCCCTGCTAGGTTGTTCCACTTCTGTCAGCACTGGGAAGAACCAGTAAAAGAAAATGGAATTACATGAACATTTTATGGAAGTAAGCCATTCCAGACAATATCATCTGAAACTGTACCATTTAATAGTGTTGTCTTTAGTGCCTGATCAAAACTGCTTCGTTTAACCCTTTGCAACACTTCGGCTGCAATCACACACACTAAATAATCCACTTTCAATGCACTTTCCAACTGGATTTTACTGTATGAACTGGCAAAATCCAGTTGAAAAGTGGATTGAAAGTGGATAATTTAAGTGTGTGTGATCGCAGCCTTCCTGTATTAGCATCCACTCACTGTGAAATCATGCGACTCACAAGGGATGTATTTTTGAAAAATATAAACTAGAAAGAATTCCTGAAATTAAAATCCTGTGGTTTGAATATCTACAAGTAAAACATTTAGTAGAAAATATAGAGATTAAGAAAAGTTTAATTAGACCTTCCACTGAATTTGAAAGCATACTTCAGGAGGATATAGGCAGGTATAAAGGGCTTATTTCAAGAATATATAAAATTTTAATTCACTCGGTTTGGAATCACCACCTTATCAAAAGCCTGAGCCACAATGGGGACAAATATGGCGTTCACATATATTTTTCATCAAAGGCAATTAATATATATATGCAATTTAAATTACTTGCAAGGTGGTATATAACCCCTTTAAAAATTCACCATATAGACCTTAAATTTCAGCTTTTGTGCTAGAAGCAATATGGGGAGATGGGAACTTTTATACACTGCTGGTGAAGCTGTAGCAGCATTAGGGGAGTTTGGGGAAAGTATTAGAAAAGATAAAATGAATTACTGGATACTCTGTTCCTGTGAGACCAGAAACAGTTATTAAATTATTGGCAAGATTCATCAATCCCAGCCATTCATAGAGATCTAATAGCTATGCTCTTAGCAGCAGCTAAAGCATCGATAGCTGCTAAATGGAAAGATAAATGCCTCCCAACGATGTCACAATGTTTTAAGAATCTGGGATTATTTAAAAATGGGAGAAAATTTCTGACTAAATCCTACAATTGGAGTCCCAACTGTATCAATCAAATTTTATGGAGTGTTGCCTCCCTATACTAGAATATATGGCAATAACTCAGATAACTCAGTTCACAGATCTCTCTTGGCCAATCGTTATTGTAGTGACCTTCTTATATTTAATAACCAGAATTTAGGTCGAGCTGCACATTAAAAAATCTTCATAGTCATATAGTTCAAGCAAACCCATTTCTTTTTGTTTTCAAAATAGGAAACTTTGTTTTATTGATTGACCTATTGTATGAATGTTAGACTGCAGTGTATAACCTTTGCGACTGGTTGTATCCAATATTTATAAGTAACACTGTTCAGTTGGTTATTGTGTTCTTATTGTGTTGTTTGTATCTCGAAATACAATTAAAAATAAAGTTTTTTTTAAAAAAAAATCTATGCCCCCTGACTCCTTCGGATACAGAATTTACCTTCAGAATTATCAGCCGTTCCATTATGATTTCCACTGATGCCATTTTGATGATCTATCTGACAATTAAGAAAGAAACAGAACCCGGGTAATTAAATATTCTATAGAGAGGTGTAAAATATCATTCTTTATATTACACATTAGACACTTATGATGTGCTACTAGAAAATTATTAACATAGACATTTGCTGCAGTTACTGCAGAATCTACCAAATGGAAACCACTATTAGCCTGCCTTAGCAAAAATGTGTGTCCTGTGCTATCTATGTAAACAAACAAGTTTTTGTAGGCAAGTGACCATTTCAGGCATTTGACAAAGCTTCTCCAAAGTACCATTAAAAAGGTAAAATTCAGAAGCCAACAAGAGATTATTTGAATAATCTAAGATCTGTGATGGAGCATCCTGTCACCATTCAACAGCATCAATAACAGCTAAATATATTCAGGCAATGATATCCTGCTTTTCTTCCCAATGTGGCCTCAAAGTTGCTTATAATATCCTCCCTTCCTCCATTGTACAACCCTGTAAAGTAGGTTAGGGTGAGTGAGAGTGACAGGCTCATGGTCACCCAGACCACTTCAGGGCTGATTAGGGATTTCAACCTGGGTCTACCATCTCCTGTGCAAGTGTTAAGTATCATCAAGTCATTTCAAAATGGCACTGCCAGAGTGGCACTGGTTCTGCTGCTGGCCTTGCAAACATGCCCCCTACCCACATCTCACTTTCTACTGCAGAAAGTCTCTGGGAGAATCTGCTGGGCTTGTTGTATGCCCGCCTTGCTTTTTCCCCACAACTGGAAACAACGGAGATTCTCAGATTTGACCTTAGTCCTGTTGGGTTTTGGCACTGGTTCTGCTGCTGGCCTTGCAAACTTAACTTTCTACAAAAGAGATTCTCTGAGAGAATCTTCTGGGCTTGTTGCATGCCTGCCTTGCTTTTTCCCCCACCATTGGGAACAATGGAGGATGGGGGCACCCTATTTGGGTGCTTATAGAATTGGACCCCCTGGTTCAATCTTTTTTGAAACTTGGGGGTTCTTTTGAGGAGAGGCTCCAGCAGCTACACTGCAAATATACTCTAGGAGATTTGCCATTGACTATAATAGACACATAGGGTATAATGGAGCCCCAAAAAATCGTGATTTCCAAATTTTACCCAAATTCTAATACAATACTGATATTGGAATTCTGGTTTTCAAGGCAATACCAAATTTTCAAGAGTCCAAAAACTCAGAGTCCAAAAAATAACACATTTTTCCCTTGCACATCCCTAGTAGATATGTAAGATTCTTATGTCTCATTATGCTTCAGTGTTGTCTTTGATTCCCAAAGTTAAAGGGAAAAGTCTGATGAAAAAGTGGTGAAATGCTATTATTAGTTGTTCTACTTTCAACTCCAATGAATTGGATTGGTGTTCTGGCCTCTCTCTGAAGGAATTTTGTAAATATTTATTAGCTTATATAGGTTGAGTGTTTAGTTAAGTTCTATAAGATGCCGTACCTCTTTCATGAGACGAAGCAGGGAGTTCTTAAGAAGCATTTCTTCTCTCACTTCTTCTTCATTCAGCTTTCTATGTTCTCGACATCTATGGGGTTTGAAGTCCATCTTGGGATACAGTTTGCCTGGGATGTTTCTAAACAACATTTCCAGCGCCCTTGGGAGAACGCCAACGTCGTCTTCTGTGCCTGTCATGTTCAACAGAAGACTTAACAGGACTTTGAATACTCTTTTGGAGCCAAACAGTTATGGAAAGGTTAAAGATTCTGGAATTAAAACCATGCTTTGAGTATGAAGAGGTGGATCCAATGGACTGCACAATCAGGATGAATTGCCATTCTTACTGGTAAGGAGCTCTGTGTTTTTGACTGATCACAATACATGACATCTATTAGCCACATTACAAAGCTAACCTATTTGCTGTCACGGGGAACAGAGCGACCACCTCCAACATACATTCCAACAACGAAGGACACAAGGGCTGGCCCTGTGAAAGGAAGTATTCCTCCCCACAAAAAAGAAATAAAGAGAATGCAGCACATCTCTCTCTCTCTCTCTCTCACACACACACACACAGTTCAAATCCTACCAATGCCAAGTGATTTAGGGCAGATTTATAGCATTACAACTTCTATGCAGTCCAGTCCACTGTCAGACAAAGTGCTTGGATCAATCAAAGCAATTGTGTTCCTTCTCACTCTAGCATCTCTCCTCTCTGGGACTGGCAGTGCTGACGTGGGAAGGTGACATTTTGACTGGTTGACATGGGTCCTCTTTACAGGCATGAGAGAGAGAGAGAATTATACACATACACCCCAATTGGAAAAATCTGTTCTAATCCTTTTTTGGAAGACCTCAATGGTTCAGAGGATCAGAGTATTACAATTTCATACAAAGCATTTGGCCTTCAAGACCTAACAAAGTCACTTGCAGGATAACTTTTAGACATATTAGGACTTAGTTTTTCTCTCATCCTTGATCAACTTCATGCTATGTTAACTCAAGCAATTCTAATGACAACTTTATACAAGTCAGTAAATATTATGATTTATGTTAGAAGAGCCTCAAATAAGGCCATGCTCCAAAGCAAAGGTTTTATGACTACTTAGAAGGGCCTTTTCAGCTGTGGCACCCTGGAACTAGCTTCTTCTGGATGCATACCAGCTTCTTTCTTTCATAACTTCCAGAAAGCACATGAGGATTTTTTCCCTCTTTTTTTGCCAGGTTTTTAAAGGAGGTCAGGAAAGGGCACCTGGCTCTTTTTAAAACTTTGTTGAACTGGTAGATTCCATTTTAAACATGCTGTTTTTAAGCTCTTGACAGTATTTTCCATATGATATCTTAGAGGGCTATTGAACAAAATGCTGACCTGGATAGCCCAATCTTGAAAGCTAAGCAAGGTCAGCCTTGGCTACTATTTGGATGGGTGACCTCCAAGGAATACCGGGGTCATGATGACAGAGGCAGGCAACAGCAAACCACCTCTGAAACATCTCTTGCCTTAAAAACAAGTCTAGCTCACCACCTAGTGGTGCATAAAACTAAAAAAGGTAGAACTTCTTGCTGCCAGACAATCTTAGGATCACCTGGCTATTCTACACACAATGCCATATGATAATTATTATTTTTTATTATTATTGAACAAAAAACAGAGAAAGCAACAAAAAAATAACATTCTTCTCATACCACAAAAAAAGAGCTACAGATGAAAGATGGTGGCTCTCCTAATGAGGTCATGCTTGAAAGTGCCATGACACAATACCTGGTCTCAGCTTCACTTCACTTGCAGATATCTGCAATGCTGACTCAAACAAGAAATGAAATAACCGAAAGCATTAAAAAGTTATACTCAGTTTCAAACAAACAAACCCCCAGCGTTAAAGAGGTAGCTTGAATGACAAAAACAGCTAAAGCAAATAATGTACAACTCCAGCTAGCATTTTTCAAGCAGTCACTCACAAGAGTTCAGCTGTACCTTGGTAAGTGTATGTTTTCCCTGCATTTGTGACCCCATAAGTGAACACCAGGCGACTGTGCCCCCTCAGGAAGTCTTGCACCGGCTGCTTCACAGTACCTTCAAAGAACTCCTCTTGAGTGGTTTCAGGGCCAAAGACCTGCCAAATTGACAAGAGGGTTTTTTTGGGAGGTTATGAGCTATTTGTTACTTCACTTAAAAAGCTATTTTAAAAGTATTTTTACCCAAACGTCCCTCAAAGGAAGTTTACATTGCTGCCCTCCTTCCCATTTTATCCTCATAGCAATCCTCTGAGGTAGATCAGGCTGGGAGATGACTGGTGCAAAGTTCCCTAGCAAGCTTATTGGCAGAGTGTATCCCTAGTCCTGGCTCAGCATTCTAACCACTCTACCACATTGCCTCAGGCTCTCATGTCTTGAATTTTTCAGATTATACACAAAACCAGGCAGAAATATTAAAACTGTGTTACTACCACAGATTAGACACCAGCAACACTCGTATTTACCTGCGAAAAAGTGAATTTCTGCACCATCTGTCCCAAGTTTTTTTCACTAAGCCGAAATACCATAGAGCTCTTGGGGGCTTTTAATATAATGCTCGCCGAGTCGAGAACAGAAACACAGCCCTGTAAGAAGAAAACTGCTTTTTAACCTAGCAGACAGCATACCTTTAATGAAACTGCTTTTAAATGTTTTATGAAGTTTAAACACACCTGAGACTCGATCTCATTTTCCGATTGCACAAGGGGTCTAATGCGAAGGCAAACATAAATGTGTTCTCTGGATTCCAAGCTCTCTCTCTAAAATACAAAAAAAGAAAAAAGAAACCATAGTAGTTACTGACCAAGTATTTTCTTTGTATGCCTTTTGTCTTAATTTTAAAAAAAAGATTTTATTTTTCCAGCCAACCGTTTCTTCCTCATGTGTAGATTACTTCGCACCTCACCTCTTAACAGGGCAGAGGCTGATCATTTGCTCACTGGCCCCGTGACCAGTGTTCCCTCTAAGCTGAGTTAGTGTGAGCTAGCTCACAGTTTTTTAGCCTCTGGCTCACACATTTTTGTCTTAGCTCAGGAAGGATGGCTCCAGAGCAAACTAATTTATGCAGTAGCCAAATCACTCGCTCACAACTTTAATGCCAGTAGCTCACAAAGTAGAATTTTTGCTCACAAGACTCCACAGCTTAGAGGGAACACCGTGACTCATACTGGGAGCCCTCCTAATGACAAGTCTGCAAACCCTATTTCTGGAAACCACGGTAGATGGGAAGTCTATCAGCTGCAGTTTTCATACTATGATTATAGCAGAATTATAATTTCTTTCTATCCATTGTTATTCTGCCCTTCCTGCGAGGAACTCATGACGGGAAACCTTCCTCCCCCCCTTTGTCCTTACAACGACCTTGTTCAGCTAAGAGAAGATGACTGGCCCAAATTCACCCAGTGTGATTCATAGAGCGGGGACGTGAATCCAGGATTGGATGTGGGGGGGAGAAACAACCCTGGAAACAGAACCCTTATCTCCAGTCCCCCAAAAGTGGGAGGAAGCACCTGCCCAGGTAGCCCTGAGCAGGAGGTACCTGCCCGAGCTGGGCATGGCATGGCCTAGGAAGGGCACATCCCTCTCTGTGACAAGGCCTTCTTCCTCACATCTGCCCTTTGGGGGAGGGCTAGGGTCACCTTTCCCCTCCCCCAACCCAAGTGTCCCTGGAGGGCTGTAACAGAGTAGAGGTCCTCTCCAGGGCCTCACACTGTTCTTAATGGCCAGTTAACACAAACACAATATCAGAGGTAGTCTGCCACCAATTCACTTTCAGAGTTCCCAACAGGTCTGGAGCCAAAGTGACTAAAAATCTCCAGGCTGACACAGGAACACAAATCCAAGAACAAGTCTGCAGTCTCCACCACAGGCTTGAACAAAGACACACAATTGGTAGTAGTAAGACCTAGTAGTCTGAGACACAGGATTTAGACTCTGAAGTTCGTGAGGCTTAATAACCCAGTCCAGGTAAAATATAAATTTAAGTAAAATTGTGCAAAGTTATAAAACACGAGACTTTAGGCAGTGAAGGACAAAACAATAAATCTAGGCTTTTCCAGCATAGCTAATTACTTACAAGCAATGTACAAGCAGTTTACCCGCATAAGGCTTCAAGGTACCAAAGTCTTTGTAGACGCAGAGTGCAAGTCCAGAGTGCATATTCCCATCAGGAGGTATTCCAAGTATTCAAGGCATAGTGAGGGTTGCTTCAGAGTATTGACCAGGCTTGGTCAAGATACCCGAACAATCCCCCCCCCTCACTAAAGACCAAGTTACTTATAGGAAAAGGCTATGAATGATCCAGGCCTGTTGACCATTCACAGTCTTGCAAAGTGATGTCACTCTTGCTAGTAACTAGGGTGACCACATCCCATAATACTTGTTTTTGAGCTATAGGGAAACGAAACTTAAAATTCTTCAAGATGGTTCCATCTCCCTCCCCACACAGGTGCTATCACTTGGGAATGTGTTCATTAATTAATGGCCCCACAGGCTAGCACAGCTAAGTGCCAGCTGCAAGGAGTCAAGGACATAAATCTCCTCCTTATCAGGACCTTTAGGACCTTCTTCTCTGTCTCCATGGTAACCCAGACACCTGTTAGCTTTCTCACAATTTACAGTCTAACAAGCATTCCACGGCCCAAGTAGGCCTTGAGAAGCCTTTGACCAAAGTTTGGTCAAGCAAGCTAGCAAGCAAACTAAAATGGTGTCTGATCTGCATTACAAGGGCACTTCTAAGTCCCACTAGAAATCTCCCTGGTGCCCTTAATGGCCAATCCACCCCCGCTTGAATCTGGGCTTCCCAGATCCCAGTCAAACACTAATCACTACATTATACTGACTTTCCATCTCCAAGGAGGCTTACTTAGGTTGTTTTGCCATTATACACTGGAACAGTGAGATTTTAAAATAAGTGAATTTTGTTTACTGCATCTCGTCTACAGTCTCTCTTAGTCATGGTTCACTTCCAACTTCTTTGCCTTAACTTCTTTATTAAGACAGCAGACCTGGAGTGCATATACACATACCCCACTATTCACAACTGAAACAGCTGTTTTTAATTTTGAAATGGGATTGCAAAGTGCTTACTACCCAGTTCAGAGAGCCAGCATGGTATAATGGTATAATGGAGAACCAGGTTCGATTCTGCACTCCTCCACATGCAGCCAGCTGGGTGACCTTGGGTCAGTCACAGCTCTTTCCACCCAAAAAAATAAGTCTAGCTCACCACCTAATGGTGCATAATGCTAAAAAGAGCTAGTACTTCAGGCAGCCAGACAATCTGAGGATCTCCTGGCTATACCACACGACACGCCATACAATAATTACTACCCAGTTCTATGCTTTGACGTAAGCTCTGCTGAGACCAGCTAGCTTCACTTCCATCAAATCATGCAGAATAATTCAGCCTTACTTGTCTTACCTGGCTGATATCAGAGATGGAGGAAAAGTCTTCGTAGAGATTTCTCTTAATGTCAGTAGCATCCAACGAGCCAATTCTCGGGGTCATCTCAACCGATTTAACAAAGGACGGCCTAGGAACCGCTGGCTTATTCAAATCTGCCTCCATCCTATTTTTAAACAGGAGAGACCTTGTATCAATGCAATGCACAATTGAAATATGGACTGAACCTAGTTTGGTTATGCAAACATTTGAGTCAGAGGCTATAGTTGCGATGCAGTATGTTTTTTAGGCTTACAGTTTGCCTGCTTCAAATAGGCCACCTCCAGGCAGTCTTGACTCTCCTACTCACACTCGCATCCAGACCACTGGGAGAAGTGTGAGGAGCAGAAGTAATGTCATGTGACACACAGGTATGACTTGAAGTAAAAACTGGAGTTTCGCCCTATGGTTTGGGGGGCATTCCAGAGGGTCTTCCCACGTGCTGACATCACACCGGGGTTTTCACCCAGATATGACAACATATCGTGTGACATCATTTCCACTCCTTGCCCTGCCTCTGAAGTGCCAGGAGATGGCTTGGCAACCCAAACATTTTTATTTATTCATTCATTTTATTTATACCCCACTTTCCTCTGCAATGGGGACTCAAAGCGGCTTACAGAGTTCTTCTCTTCTCCATTTTATCAACAACCCTGTGAGGTAGGTTAAGCTGAGACAGTGTGACCGGCCCAAGGTCACTCAGCAAGCCTCTAGACCATGAGTGGGGATTTGAACCTGGGTCTTCTAGATACTAGTCTGGCACTCCTAACCACTACACCACACTGCCTCTCATTGTCTTGTCCTTCTGCCTTGAGCAATTCTGTATCCCTGCATTTGCCTTTCCACAAAGTTAGTTTTGTATGCCTGCATTTGCCTTTCCACAAAGTTAGTTTTCATTATAGATCAGCCAGTGTACAGAATTACATTGCGGAAAGTTACAACACAAAAAAGACAAAAGCCATGACTTGATGCAGTGTTTTCCCAGTCTGTCATTCCACAGAAGCTTATCAGCCAGGATAATCTGCAAGCAGCCCAAAAAAGAGGGGGGGAAGCCAGTGTACAATGCAGGAAACAAAAAAGAACACCACTGGCAAAAAATAATAACGCACAAGCAAGTAAGCAAGTATATAATGATCAAATAAGCATAACAGCAAGTATAATATAAATCAAATAAACATAACAAGTATGATATAAGTCAATAGGCCAAAGTGCAATAATAAATCATAATAGAAGCAAGTCACAGTCTTTCCATGTGTCTACTCCAGCATAGAAGCAATATCAAAGTCCAAATTGGAGTGCAATTCATCAAATTTTCTGAGCCGACGCGTAATCCGGATGCCTGTTGCCGCATTTCGATTAATTCTTTTTCAAGCATGGCTGTAATGGGACCCAGTCTCAAAAGCTGGCATACACTAAACCAGAATGGTCCTTGACTGACCATTCTGGCTTAGTGTATGCCAGCTTTTGAGACTGGGTCCCATTACAGCCATGCTTGAATTAGGATAATCTGCAAGACAGCTTGCCCTCCACTGTGGACATGTCCCAGCAATGCACAACTGCACTGAAGAGGATGCTGCTCCAATATGTGGAATGCAAAGCTCAAGAGACCCTGACAGTTAATTGTCAACAGTCAAATATAAACACGGGAAGTCAGTAAGGCTACTAGTTATAGATGATTTCTGTTACACACCTATAACAATGTGTGAAAAGATACACATACACGAGACTCACACCTGCTTCTTGACTAGGTCTGTGGCCAAATGTAACAGAACAGCATCTCTGCCATCGCTTCTGAAGGCGCTATAGGGCAAAGCTCTAATACTGAAAATATTGAAAACAGATCAGCCAATGTCATAATGCCCCTATATAAATCAATGTGTTACCCGAACCGGTCCAATATGGTTCTGGGAGCCCAAGTCAACTCTGCTTACAGAGGATGAGCGGTGCGTGAGTTCTAACCCGTGTATCCAGAGGTCAGATTGGCGTCCGAAAGCTCACTATTTCCCAAGGAAGTCAGACAACACACTGGTTTTATGAATAAATGTTGCCTCTTTACTAAAGCAGTTTCTTCAAACATACATAAATAGATGCATACAAGATTCACACAGCTCCTTAGTTACAGTAGTATATAGAAACAATTAAAGCATGGAAAATAACAAAAGCATCAAATAAGGGGGATGACTTCACAAATAGGCGGCTATACTTATCTGAGGTCCGCTGAGAAGAAATCTCCTCCTAGGAAAAAGGGGGGGCAACTAACGTATCAACTGGTGAACTCTGAACACACAGAGGCCGGTCCTGCCACGCCACGTGTGCGTTCCCTGGTCGCGACTCCAGGGAACTTAGAGAGTCACCTGAAGCACCCTAGTGCTCTAAGGGGGAGAGCAGAAGCTGGAGAGAAGAGAAGAGGGCGAGACAAAGGCCCGTTTCCCTTTTTACCAGCTCTGTTCTGGGCATGGCTTTACCTGTCATAAATCTTCAGATCCGTCCTCTATTCTAAAGCTATAGGTCCGCTAAGGGGTGATGTCCCAAAGGCAGTGGGCAATATGAGAATATTCTGTCCCTACATCAAAGTGGAGTCATGTGGTGATGTGTGAAACCTCCGTTTCCTTGGCGACCTTTGGAGTAGAGATGAGCCTGGTCCTCAGGGCAATAAAACAGTATTGTCTTTCGATGCCCAAACCAGATAGCAGGAAGGGAGTTGGTAGTTTCCATAATCCATCAAGGGTGGTCACGCCTGGTGCATCTCCAAATGTCTCCTGGTGCATACCGGTGATGACCTCTTTGGGCCAGGGGCACAATGGAAAATTCCAGTGAAAGCATGTGCGCTGTAGCGGGCATCTCGGCCGTGCCCATCAGGGACAGGGTGAGGTGTAAGGCCAGCTATTCAAGCGCATGGCAGCAAACATACACAACAAAGGGCTCTGAGTCCCAAAAGCACAGATACATAGACATTTGAGCAATACTTCATAAGCACAACACATATAAAATGCAAATACAAGCCCACATGGTAACAGAACACCCGTCCCCGATCCATCCCTTTGGCCTGAAAACGCACATTTGAAAGGTACTAGCAACAGAGCACTACCTTCCGGATGATGCATGGCAACTCCAGGCATCTGGTCGGGGAAGCGCTGGTAGCCCATCACAGCCAGTGCCGTTCCCCGTCCCACACATGCGCACAACCATGCTACTGCTGGTTTGCTGCACAACGTGTGATCGGGTGCCAGAGCACAAAGCCGCGGGGGCACGTCGGATCATGCAAACCCACACTTTTTTGCTCCAGCTCTAATTTGCCTCT